TGTGACAAAGTGAGAGAGTGGCATGGACAGATATACACTACCAAACGTAAGGTAGATAGCTAGTGGGAAGCAGCCGCATGGCACAGGGAGATCAGCTCGGTGCTTTGTGACCACCTAGAGGGCTGGGATAGGGAGGGTGGGAGGGAGGGAGACGCAAGAGGGAAGAGATATGGGGGTACTTGTATATGTATAGCTGATTCACTTTGTTATAAAGCAGAAACTAACACACCATTGTAAAGCAATTATACTCCAATAAAGATGTTATAAAAAAAAAAGTGCAGGAGTTAGAAACCACGGGAAGGCTTCAGGAGTGAGTGCCTTGTAAGGAGGGATGGCCAGGGGCGATCATTCTTTCTGGGGCTTCAGAATGGAGGAGAGAAATAGGGCAATAGCTTAAGGCATGGAACAGGGAAGAGGGCTTTTATTAGGCTATGGAGGATTGAGTATATTTGTGGGAAAAGGTGAGGAAAGGGAAAGATGACAGATGCAAGCTCTTTTGGTGAGTGGCTACGGATGGCCCAAGGTCACCCATGCAAACACACAGATGTGGCACACCCTACCCACAATTCAGCCAATGCTTGGCCTCCACTGGGGCCTCAGGGCTCCTCTGCTACCCATTCCGTCCACCTCTGGGGCCTTGAGACATCTGCTAGGTGATGGGTTCTTAAGTGAGAGTGGGAATGACTGCAGTGCAGAGACCCTGATGTGAGGAGGGTACGGCTGGCATCGTTGGGTCTCATCTGTGAAAGTGCAGGGGGCAGCTGCCATGGAGGATAGCACACGCATCCACAGGACAGGAGTCGGTGGGGTGGGGTGGCTGGCGCACAGCAGGGGGGCCCAGCCCTATCACAAGGGACTCAGCAGCAGAATCTGCAGCAGTGCGAGCCCAGCAGGCTTCTGGGAGGCAGAGCTGGGCAACATCCCTCTATCAACCCGCTGATTAAACTGCCAGCTCTGACTCTCTCTTGTCACCACCTTTCATAAAAGGAAGCCCCGTGAACTGAGGCAGCTCTGCGTTCTCTGTGCCTGGTGGCCTGCCCCCCCATCCCTTCCTTATTTGGTGGGGGCCTCTGGAGGGAGGCTATCTTTTGGCCTCCATTTCTTCTGTCTCAAGGGGAGACTCATCCCTAAGGATGAATCACAGATAGAGCTTTCAGGGAACACAGTGCTGTCCTTAGGAAAGCAAGGGGTTCTGGGATTATAGGGTCAGATGTGTAAATGAGGGAGACACCCTGCCTGTCTAGAGGCCCGCGCAGCCCTTCCAACGTATACACTTGACTTAAAGATAACGGAGATGTGGAGGAGTGCACATTGTGAAAAACAAAGGCAAAATGCACACCCCACCTGGTACCCAGCACACGATGATCTAGGAGACATCACACCAGCTGCAGTCCCTCCATGGTCTGGGCCTCCCCTCTGTTAGAGGAATTCTGGGGCTCCAGGGGGAGACACAGCATTGGCTAAATTCTGGGTAGGGTGTTAATATATCTGTGTGTTGCATGGGTGGGCAGGTGGATGCCAGGGTTTAAGTAATTACTGTGAAAAAGGTAGGATTTTGGAGGACGCCTGGACCTCTTAACTCTATACTCTTAACTCCTTTCTGTCCTCTTTCCTCCCAACACCCCCAAATTATATATACTTCTATTTTTTTCTGTATTTCATTCACCATGTGTTAAGTGGCAGTGCCCATGGTAAGCAGGTGAGGAAGCATGCCAACCAAAAGGGCCAGAGCCACATAGCTGCTAAATGGTGGAATCTGGGCTTGAACAGGCCTGTGACTCCAACTCAAATGCTCTTCCCCCTACACCCTCTGTAACTTCCCGTTTCTAAGTGGAACTTGACTCCCAGCTGGGCTAAAGCAGCATGATGACGTCTTCAGAACTTCAACATTCAGAAACTTTATGTAAGACTCTGCTGGAACCAGCAAGTCATTCTGAGTCTCCTGGTTTACCCCACAGGGCAGGATCTCCGCTCTGCTCCTGGGTCCTTCCACTGCTGCCTCCTTGTTGGCAGTGTTGCCGAAGCACTGGGTTATGGTGTCTGGGATCTCATCCCTCCTTGCAAGCAGGCCTTCCTCAGAGGTCTAAGACCACGTCTGGCTGCTTCATTCTGACATCTAGGGAAGCCTCCTTCATTATGATGTCTATTTGCTACTATACAGAATATTGTTGGATGGGAAGGAAGAGCTGAAACCTAGGCGGGGACTCCAGAGATGATTCTCAGACCCACACCTCCAAACTGGCTTCCCAAGGGAACCTCCACCACATCCTCAAAGGTGAGAAAGCTATGGAAGCTATGATGCTGCCACCATCCCTGCTGCCACTCCCACTGCCACAATTGCCTCTCAACACTCATGAACTTGGTGTCCAGACCCTGCAATGCTATTGTAACAGGCAAGCCACTGCCCACCCCAACTGCTCCTAACCCAAGAGTCTATGATTTCACTAGGCAGCGTATAACTTCAAAGCAGCAGGAAGATGGTCTCTATCTGCTTTCCACTTCCCAGATCTCCCTAGTTCACCTAACTGGCAGAATATAAATTATATCTAGACTCCTAGCTGCAAAGGAGTCTGAGAAATGTCGTTTAAAATTTTCTGGTCACTACAGTACAAGGAGAAGTTTAAGATGGATGCTGAGGGCCAAACCACCATATATACCACATTTGGTGCAAAAAAATATTGAATATTCAAAATAAATATTCCAAAGATTTTCTAAATGCTTCTGGCTTAACGTTTGTTTAATAAAATTTTTTTAAAAATCTTCGATATCTGAAGATTATGGGCATGTTCACAAGTGCCAGGAGTCCTCTCAACCATCCACAAGCTTACTTTTCTCCACCAATATCACCATTGCAGAGTTCAGGGGGTTTCTCATCCATTGGGAGATTAGATCCTAAAAAGAATGATCCATTTTCATTCTTTCCATTTTTTCAATTATAGAAACAATACAAGCATTGTTTGTCTGAAAAATATAGTAAAAATACCTCTAATCCTACGTCACTATCACAATAACCACTTCACTCTT